TTTCTCGCGCTCATGGGAAATGCAAGCAAACTCCGAAAATAAACAAATCATTTGTTCTCCCTTGTTATATAATTCGTCAGGCCCGAGAAAAATGCTATATACAAAAAGACGTAAGTTCAACGACCAGAGAGCAATTTCCATCGAATAATTTCGTTATTATTCCCAACGGAATAAAGAGGCATTTACACTTAATAAAAATGTATATTTGAATTTTTTTCTTACTTACGACAGGGTTGTTTATTGCAAATAGGACATGAAGTGTCGAGATTTTCTATGATGGAATCAGGTTACCGGAAAATGATGCGATTCGAGGAAAACTTCTAGGTACAACGTGGATATGAATAGAATTGAGTTGATTTAAAGGAAGATATACTTTTGTAAACATGCAATTTGCAATATGCAGGTGCAAAGTGTGACATGTGGCACAAATTGATATCAGATTTTCAAATAGTTTGCTGATATATCTATAACAGGGCAAACTGCAACATAAATCCCAAGAAAAATAAACAAATGTGACACATATTGTGAATGAAAATACTGATATGTAGTCGAAGAACACAACACCTCATAATGTATATATAGTTTATACTTGATTTTATAAACCGCATTCATATGTACTAAAAATTTATACAAAAACCGCCGTTTCAGAAAACCGGTTTTCGAATAGTAATTTTTTCCAAAACTGGTTTCAACCTAGAATATTCGAATTATATCATTCGAACGAAAAATGTTACGATTTAGAGCCAATTAAGGTAGTTTTTGATTGAAATTGAAATTACTTTTTAATTTTACTGATAGTGCAATTTTTACAAAATTTACTAGAAAGAAAAACAGTTATCCAGGGATAAAAAAACTTTTAAATTTTTAAAATCGGTTTTTGAGAGAATATCGATTTAAGGTAAATAATTTGTTCACACACACATATATTTTTTTCCATTTTTTTCGTTTTTGAGAGAATATCGATTTAAGGTAAAAATCTGTTCACACACACACACACATATATTTGCTAAATTTGGACTCATTCGATTCATAATGGCTTGAAACGTCGAGAAAACATAAAATTAGAAAATTGAATTTTTTGATAAAAACGAACTTTTCCTTCGAAATATTATTCATCGTTTATGCATAATTTCTATATGTGAGAAAATAACATAATAGTTCTTATAAAATTGTAAAAATATTTTTTATTTATTTATTCGAAACTTAGCCCAAAAACTCGTTTCAATATTATAAAAATACTTGCACATTTATATGTATACAAAGATGCAAGTATATTTGAGTTATTGAGCAAATTTTTGATATCGGTGCAGCCGTTTTTGAGAAAACGTCGATTCAGGGCAAAAAATCTGTTCACACACACACACACACATACTTTTTACAAATTTGGTCTCATTCGATTCAGAGGGACTTGAAACGTGGAGACAACATAAAATTAGCGAATCGCATTTTATTATGAAAACATAAACTTCAGTTTATGTTCAAGTTCTCGAATAAATAAAAGGAATATATTTTTACAATATTATAAGCATTATGTTATTCTTTATAATAATTTATTAATATTAAAAATAATTAGAAAATATATAACTCCAATTATAATAATGTATTAAAGCCGAAGACACGAGTATATAAAGTTTATGCACATATACTTATTAAAATAAATTTTAATTTTGTATTCGACAGAGGAACAAGTATTTTATATTTCAGAATAATTAATAATAAATTTAAATTGTTTATTAATTTCGTGTTTAATAAAATATGATTTTAGAAAACAGAGGACGTCTATCAATTTGCAACAATTTTACATCAATCTGATATATTTGGCTATTCTGGTCATTTCAATTTTTTTTAAATATTATTATACATTGAAAATTTCCAACTTTTTGAGAAAAAAAGTAACGAAGGGATGCCAAAGTTTTATATCAGTTTGAACCAGTTATCCAAAGTTTAATAAAAAATCGATAGAAAAAATATGAAGATTCAGTAACATTTCTTGATTATAAAAGTTGAATTAGAATGCACTAAATTTAGATTCAGAATAATTTTATCAAAACCAATATAAATAATATTCTGATTATATTGGTCATTTTAAAATTAAATGAATTAGTATTTTCTAAATAACGCAAATTTAAATTTTCTATTCATTTTTTGTTTAATAAATAATTTTAGAAAAAAGAGGATGTCTAACAATTTGCAACAGTTAGATCAATCAGATACATTTGGCTATTCTGGTCATTTTTTTTTAAATATTATTATACATTGAAAACTAATATTTTCCGTTAGAAAAACGGATTCCGATTTTCATAAATTTTTGCAAAAAAGGTTTTCAAAATCTGACTAACCTTAATGTAAATGATAATCTTATACATAGGCTGTTTCAGTATTATTATATTTCGAAAAAAAATATGGGAGCTTAAAAATATAGATAACATTTTTTATATTTTATTCAGAATTGTGTATAGATTTGTTTAATATTAAAAGTTTAAATACGAAATCAAAATAAAAAAAAAACTTAGTCTATTACTTCAATGTTGAAGCAGCCTCATAATCCGGCTCCAAGCCCGAGCTTTGGCAGCAACATTTAAAGGAGCTTTAACTTTAATGTTAATCTATTACACCCATCTTATCCTACTAATTACCATTAGGTTAAGCGGGTCATGGATCCCTATGTACATAGATCATTTATTTAGAATTTGAATCCGTTCTAATGCAATACGCCATAGATTCGAAGTGGAGCAACCGAATGTATTGAAATCTCTCCTCGCCTGCAGTCGGCAATAAAGAATCTAAAAATAACCAAAATATCTACTTGGGTATCCTACATATGAAACTCACCGACTCCCAAATGTACCAGATTGACTTCAAAATATTGTAACGTTTGTTTACTGGAATTGATTGATTGTTCCCTAGATAATTTGTTGGGCATTGACAAATGGACGCAGTTCGAAATTGGAAAATTAATGAAACAACGATGATAATTAGGAGTTTGCAAATTTTGGTAATAACCAACATTTTCCACAATTCTGTTAATTATAAATTTACGTGAATTCTGTAATTAGAAGTATCACTCGTGATATGTAATAATATATATCTGAAATAATTAACAATTTACCCAAGCTTACATAAATATGATAGGTGATTAGTTCAGTTAATTAGCCTGGGACAAAAATCATTTCAATCATTTCATTTGCACTTCGATGCGTATAACATGGAAACAATAATTACAACAGATTTATTTAATCTGAAAATTTTTGGAATAGGTATTATATATATATATTTATCGGTTTTTTTAGTATTAACCAATATTAAACAACTATGATAATTAGGATGGATATAAATATACAGTTTACAATTTTTGGTAATAGCCAAAATTTACATTTCTGTTAATTATAAAATTTACATGAATTCTGTAATTGGAAGTATCACTTGTGATATGTAATGGCAAATAGCAATCGATATTACGCAATAATGCACGAATGTTATTCTAAAATAATTAACAATTTAAACCAGGCTCAAACATAAATATGATATAATGATAGGTAATTAGTTCAGTTAATTAGCATGGGATAAAAATCATTTCAATCATTTCATTTGCATTTCGATGCGTGTAATAATTACAATAGATTTATTCAATCAAAATATTCAGAATAAATATTATAATATATTGATTGAAATACTGCTAAATATTTTTTCCGAGTATTCATTGTTTAATAAAATGTGATATTAGAAAACAGAGGATCGATTTGCAACAGAGTTTAGATCAATTTGATACTTTGCTATTCTTTTTCTTGGTCTTTTTTTAAAAAATATTAGCATAAGGGTTATTAATTATTATTATTAATTAAGGGTTTTTAAAAATTACTATACACTATATACTACATATCTTATAAAAAATTTAATTAATAGTAAAGATGCTTTCTTTACACCAAAATAGATATCTTCTAGATCTTCTTAATTTTATATGATTTAAAATTTATTTTTTGTTTCATTAAAATTTTCGTAAAGATTTATTTAATTTCTAAATTAGATGATAATGGTAACCAATAAATTATTTATTTTATATAAATCTATCTATAAATGATATTATATATAAATTATTTTAAAACAATGAATATCAGTACTTGTATCAACAAAATTCGAAGAGAAGCAAATTGTCATTCAAAGTGAATTATTATAAGATTATTTATCAATTCTCATTAAAATATGTTTGGAATATATATATATATATACATATATATATATATATATATATATATATATATATATATATATATTACAAAAAATTAAGAGATTTTCAAGTTATTTCTGTATTCCAAATTCTATTTTCGAACATTTTGATAAACCTGAAGGGTGACTTTTCGCCTAAAATATGCTTCTTGACTTCCTCTTATTTTAATCTGCACAAAAAGAGCTTAAATAATTTCCAACTTTTTGAGGAAAAAAGTAACGAAGTGAATGTAAAGTTTTATATCAGTTTGAACCAGTTATCCAAAGTTTAATAAAAAATCGATGAAAAAAATATAAAGATTCGGTAACATTTCTTGATTGTAAAAGTTGAATTAAAAGATACTAAATTTAGATTCAGAATAATTTTATCAAAACTTATATAAATAAGATTTTGATTATATTGGTCATTTTGCTGCATACAATAAAATAAATTATTTCAATTGACTTATATAGATTAGTCGTTCACAATTTAAAATTTTATTTGTTGAAGTTGTTTCAAAATATTGGATTTTGTTTAAAAAAAAATCGATAAAATAGTACTTACATAATTATATGTATTCATATAATTATAATTACCAGTTTTAGTTTGAAATATTGTTGAAAATTCTAAAAAGATATCAATGAACTTTCTATATAAAATTCCCAGTAGCTATAGAAGCAAATTACCAAAGTGATTCAAATTGAATAGCGATTGAAATTATTATTTAATATTGATTTTTATTTATAATTAAACAAATAAATTAATAAAATAAATAATTGTTTTTATAGATACCAAAATGAAGAGTGAAGATCGTCTTGGAACGCCAAGAGTGCGAATAGCAGTTCTTGGAAATCCAAATGTTGGCAAATCAGGTAAATAATTTATATTACAAATATATTAATTAATCGATTAATAATTATTAGTTTATAATTTAGACAAATTTCTCAAAAACGTTTTTTAAAAAAAAATTATAATTTTCTAATAAATTTAATTTGGAATGAATACATAACGTCATAATATATTCTAATTATAACACGCCGACTAAATGTAAAAGGTGATAGAAAATGAATAAAATAAAAGTAATTAATGACTATTGACAAAAAAGTATCATTTTTGTTACATAAAAAACATCGCGCAAATAAAAATTAATAATTACAATATTCGATTGCACTTGAACAAAACGCATTGTCGATTAAATAAAATCTGAATTCATAAAATTATTTCAATAGATCATTTACCTTTAACATTTCAATCAATACCCTATAAAATAATTACCAATATTAATTCTAAAAATAAATAAAATTCACTTACCGACAATTCAAAGTATATCAGAAGAATGTTGGCAAGAAAGCTCAGCTTTAAGCTCAGCTTCAATCAAATAAATGAATTCCCTGTTCCCAATTCATGCATCGATGGCTTAAAATGTTAAAATCAGGATTGTTTCGGATTACAATTCTAGAATGAATCTGTAAAGAAATAATTGAGATATATTATACTTTAATGAATGAAAACGTTTTTGGAAAAGGTCCTTGAATTTAGATAAAACATTGAGTTGAATGAACGATGTCGAGGCATTATGAATTTGGGAGAAATGAATAATGGACTGTCTAGCTTTTCATTAATTTATGAAGATATTTACTTCTGTAACAACTCATTTCTCAACTGGTAAATATTTAACTACTACTAGTGTAAAACTTTTATTACTTATTAAAATCTTATATTACACAATATTTAGTATATAAATAGTTGTTGATAACTAACAAATGATTTTAATAATAATGATACGTTTACGTAATAAATATTAATAATCAAGTACATACTTCAAATTTAAATATTCTATTCTACTTAAATAGTTGCTAAATAAATTTTTAAACCTTTTATAACATTTTTAAAATTATTCGGCCGCAACTTTTGAGGCATCTAAAAATTATACATCACTAAGTAAATATCATATATATTTTTTGTTTATTCTATTACTTTCATATTTTTACAATAAAAATCAGAACTTTAAAATACGCCTGCGATATTTTCTGATAAAAATATAAAACTGTAGGTGAAACACGAACCGTTTTGTTTGTTTAACAAAAAATTTTAGGTGGATTGTGTTGATTTTTGAATATATTTGAATGCAACCTTTAAAATATTTTTTTATGAAAATTATGTTCCTGAAAAATATTTGAAATATCATAGAATAAAAATGATACTATATTGCGATAGAGAAATAAATGTAAATCAATTTTCATGTCCTAGTTATAATAATGAGTAAGGGGCACTGTTTTATTTAAAGGTTGATCAAATGTTTATGTAGATTTTTAAGTTTTTATTCAATATATTTTTTTTTCAAATATAGAGGAGACTGGGTACGATCATAACAGCAATCCTATACTAATTTTTATTTATTTATTTTATTTTATTTTATTTATCATATAGCCCACAGAGTAGCTCCAGGAGGACTTGAAAATACAATTTTAATAATACATATTATAATAATATAAGTATACTAATATATGATATAACAACACTTAACATAATATAATTAATAACATAACAATACATAACACATAATAAAAAAACTATCAAATTCTTAACGGTAAAACTAAATTATATACGATGGAAATAACATATTCGTTACAAAATTTTTAGAATTCAAAGAAAAAAATGAAGTATGTTTGTTCGAACAAGTTTCCATTATTTCATTGAGTCATCTCCATTGATCTGTAGACCGTATTTCAGTATTTCGTTGTAAACAAATGTTCAAATTACAATTTAATTTACTTTTTTACTGGTACATTACCAGAATTATTGCCGATCAAAAAAAAATTGGTACAACCGTCATCAGTCTTCCCTACAATTTTAAACTAACAAACTAAATTGTGATAATGTCTGCTGCGTAGAAATTATCGTGTATGCTATTTAAAATATTCTAAGCTGAATTTATGATCCCGGCCTGATGTATATGTTTCGAGCCGAGAACTCCGATTGCACAAACAAAACATTACCCTGACATTCGCTATTAATATCGCTCTGATGTGTACTTTGCTTCGAACTACTAACTAGACTAAAAATTACTGAAAATTATATTTAACACATAGAAGATTAATTAAATCTTCAATAGTAAGTAGATATTCAAAAATTTCCTAGTTATAAATAAAAATAATTAAAATAAATAATATTATTATATTAATTGTTAAACTGAGAAGATCTCATTGGAGCTCTTCTTAGGCATCGCTCTTACATTGTCATTTTAGCTCATAGAAATCTTTATGTATTTCTGATTGCTAAATAAAACGAGTTAAAAAAAAAAAAAAAAAAAAAAAAAAAAAAAAATTTAGGAGGTACACAAACGATGCATTCCAACTTCATACGTCATAACTTGACGTAAATAACGCTGTTAATTTGTATTGTATTTATCTTCGAACAATATAATTCAAAAATGCAAGAATTGGTAAAAAACTCATAGAAAGTAGAGGAAACGGGGTACGGTTGTGCCACTTTTTTTGATTAGCAATAATTTTGATAATTCACTACTTAGCTGGGAAAAAAATTGACTAGCTAATTACTATGGTACTCTAGCACAACCGTACCCAGTTTCGCCCACTAGTATCAAAAAAGTAATTTATTCCATCATGTGAGATACAATTGAATCAACAACCGACGGCATGGCAACAAAAAACCGTCTACGTACAACAAATATACACAAATTTATATTCTAAGATATTCATAAAGTCATTTTCATCCACCTCATCGTCTCATGAGAAAGTTCTCATGACGTCACGGATTTTGGTTTGCCCACGCCATATGACGTCATCATCCACCTGCAGATATGTTTTAATATATATATATATATATATATATATATATATATATATATATTATTTTAGATATATCAAAATATATATGTATGTACATGTGGGTGTACTCAGATAGAACATCTGCCCGGAAAATTGTATCCCGGAATCGATTTTGCATAAAATAAAACTTAATTAATTCAACGACACATCCAGTGTAAGGTCATGGATGGGAAATTGTTTATAAACACTGATTGCAGCGATTAATTTAAATTTAAAAAAGCTTTTAAAAATGGTAATGGATTAAGTTATTTATTGAATTTTAATTGAGTTATTCATGGACATTTATTGATTCAATAAAATAAAATAATTTGTTCATATGAAAAACAAGGGCAGCTGAAACGCCAAAAAAATTAAATCAATGTTCTAAAATTCGTCAAAATCGTTTGATTGATAAAATTGAAGCAAATTAAAAAATATATATTAGGATATGTAAAATTTAAAATGAGTCAAAAATGACGCACCTGCACACTTCTGTATATAACCTCGACCTGCAGGACAGTAGTTATGACAATATTATGCAGGGCAGGTTACATGCCCAAATAAAACAACAAAAATTATCTCTACTAGGGAATGCAATACTGGTATACCGGTATACCAAATTACCGGTAAACCGACCGATTTTTCGTCGGTATTTATTCCGAAAATACCGGTATTTTCGGTATATTTACATAAGCGTTATTTGATACATAATATCCTAAAGATTAAATTTCTCGGAACAAATTTATCTTCAAATTTCACAATCGCATAAACAGCTATATCTTCAAGTGATTCTATAAGATAAACAAATGTCAAATATTATCTCAATTCGTCATTAAACTGAATATTTATTGCTTTCCAAAGGGCTTCATATCGTGTTACAACAAAATAGAATTGGACTGATAGATAATGTTGCTTGTTTCATCTTTTGTAAAAATGTAACTGTTTTTAAGTGATATTTGCGCCAAAATATTTTATATCATACAGATTACCCCTGCGTAACCTTTATTTTTTTCTATCTTCATACATAATAATTATGATAATTACTGCATATTTTTGCTTCTTATTACAATTATAAAATATTACTTTTCGAAAACGTTTTGAAGTTTGAAATACTATAGAAGCATCACATTATTTTAAATAACAATACTCAACAATTATAGTAACTTATTATTTATCTTGACGAAGTATCCGATCTTAAATTAGTGTAGAAAAATTATTTTTTTAAATTATTGGAGATTATGCTAATTTAACACATCGGATACAGACAATACAGTTTATTATAATAATGTAATATGACCTTTTATGGGTTTGGTCTTTCTTACTCATAAGTTTGTTTTTGGTGGAAAGTATTCATTATACTCGATAGTGATAATGAATTAATTAAATTGGATATAATTTGGTTAAATAATTATTTAAAAAAATAACTTATTAGTTTATTTTATTGTTTTTATTGTTTAATTGAATATAGTTGTAGTTGTATATACATTTTTTTTTATTTGTACTAGTAACTTCCAATTTTGTTTACGTTTATTTAAGATAATAAAAGTACCGGTATTGAAATTTTCCATCGGTATTGCATTTTCTATGTTAAACGTATTGTGATACATTTTGCACTAAAAGAAATCGATTCCCAAAAAGAAAAAGAAAAATGCAATATAAGAAAAAAAAAGTTTTACAAAGTTTTATTATCCAATTAACAATTTCTAACGTAGTTTTCTAAATTATATAACCATTTTCATCCCTTTTGTGTCCATTACAAAATCAATCGGATACGACAGAGACTAAGATAATGAGAAACATCGTAATCTAGTCTGGTTTTTGTCGAGAAATTGATTGCTGTAAATACTGGAACAGACTGGCGACGAGATTTTAATTACGAGAATTAATGTAAAAAAGCAGAATAAAGCATCCAGTTGTCTGGATGTAGATGACATAATGCAGTTTGAGATTTAATTGGAATTTACTTAGTGGATGGATAATTGATTGAAAGTAATTTAATTTGGTTTTAATTAACAGACTTTTTCACTTAATTAGTGTAAATC